TATCTTTTGTTCAACTAGGATGAACTGAAAATTGAAAAGAAGGCAAAGAGGAATATGGACATAGAAAGATGTTGTAACAATGCAAGATTACTGATTGAAATGTTGGGATATTACCAGCCTTCRTCACCATCACAAGACAAGGAACTGATGAAAGTAAGTTGCATGAGTGAYATTGATGTCATTAATTACATGTGAGCAATTATTACTTTATGTTGATATGGCATTGTAAAATGTTTGTAGGAGCTTTACCTTTCGTGTGAGAAAATGAGGCCTTCATTATTTAGACTTGCAAGTGCTGCAACTGAAGAAGGTGATGAGGGATTAGGTAAGCAGTGTCTTGTTGTTCTTTGTTTAATTCATTCATTTATTCAGCCATCCATCCATTAATTTTTTCATCTCTTTATTTATTTATTTATTTATTTCATTCATTCATCCATTCTTTCATTTACATTTCTAACTATCCTTTTATTTATCAACCATCTATTTTTTCATTCATTAAACATTCTTTTCTTCCTGTTCTACTTATTACATAACCCCTACACATCTTCATTCATTATTTCAAACCAATTCATATTTTTAGCTGAAATTCTCAAAGCAAATGATGAACTAACAAGAGCAATAGAAGAATACAGGAAAAAGATTGGACCAGAAAAACAGACCACAGCTGAGCAAAGCACAGACCAGTCAACAGCACAGCCAATGACAGAAAACACAGGACAGMCTATGGCAGTACAACCATCATCTCAAGACTTAGCAACAAATGAAGGTGSATCTTCTTTGATTGATCTTGGTCATGATGAAAACAGACAATCTGGWGATGCTGGAAATACATCTGTACTTGATGATGAGCTAAGAGCACTAGGTACTGAAAACTGGTGTGGATTTAGGCATGTGTTTGTTTATTATACAATGTGATGACAATGGATATCTTCAATGTATTTATAATGATATTGCTTTTCCAGGAATACATGACTCACCACAAACTGTAAATTCTCAAGCAACACCAACTCCATTAWCAGTAAGTGCACAACACTATGCCAGTTTTATATGCAAYAATCTYGAATCTTTTTTAAGATTCATCTAAAAATTGTGTTTGATGACAAGYTTTGCARCTCCAAAAGAGTCCTTATTAGCTAAATGATTATGTTTGACMGGCAGTTTATTAAATTAGCTTCAATCGTTACAGAATATTTCATCATTATCTTGGGGGGGTCAACCACAGTCGTTTAGTCCACCAACACAAAGCAACATTGGTATGGTAAGACCAATGGSCATCCCTCAGCCTGGAGGCATGGTAACTAGTGGCTATCCTTCACACCCTATGAATCAGCCACTTGGTATGCGAATGCCGCARATGGGGGTGTCACCTAGACCTGGTATGCAGCCAATGCAAGGTATGGGTATGTTTCCAAACAGAGGAATGACGCCGGCAGCCACACCCCCAAGAGGCCCCRCCCCAGCCAACAAGAGAGGGCAAGAAGCACTGAAGGCCCCTACATCATCACTGGATTTATTGGGACAAGACTTCTTACAAAATCAAAAACAACAACAAAAACAAAAACAATCTGTTTCACCATTAATTCAGACAACAGCAGAGGCATCTCCAACAGAGGGCACATTATTATCACTAGCAACAAACAACCAACCAGAAGAACAAACTAATCAACCATCACAAAGCTCAAATACCAAGGATGAATTGCTTTCCCTTGATRCTGACATTGCTGCTCCACCATTAACAAGAGTCTCAACAGATCCTGARCCACTTGACAATGTATTTGTACCTTTGGATACTGTAATACCAGGTTTGCCAAAGTTAATCTCAAACTATTACAATAACTGTCAATCATGTCAGAATATAAGAAATCTATAATATTTTCCATATGTAAGTGGATTCATTTTCYTTATTTGAACTCCAGGTGATCACCAACCACTCACTGTTCTGGACAGAAAAGGCATCAAGATGGTATTTCATTTTGCAAAGGTAACACCAGCTAAATAGGTAGCTTACATCATGAAATTTCAAAAAGCTACGATGAAATGGAGCCAGTTCAAGAGCAATTATTATAATTGTCCAATTATCATCACTTTTTCTTTTTAGACTACAGCTAATCTGTCAAGATCAGATGTCAGAATTGTTGTTATTTCAATCATGAGTACATTAAAAACTGCTGTCAAGAAYGTTGTTCTTCAAGCGGCTGTCCCCAAGGTTTGTACCACTCAATTGTGTAAATAACAATCCTTTGTACTATTCAGTGATCTTTAGCTGGACAATTTTAATTGTTAAAACAATTCTACTACAAATTTGACCTTGAATCAAAGTGGAAGAGTGCTGTAATTCATAAACATAAACAATGAATTTTTCAGAGTATGCGAGTTAAGTTGCAGCCTCCTTCAGGAGCAGATCTTCCACCACATAACCCTATACTACCATCAGCAGCTATAACACAAGTCATGTTGATTGCAAACCCTAATAAGGTCAGTCTATTGAGCAGTCTTGAATCAATATTCATGCATAAATTGTTGTTTATAGTAAAAACATGGAATTCTACACATTCATGTAGTTAAACATTAATCATTCRTGATCCTCATCTGTACTTTAAGGTAGCTCCATACATTGTTGCCATAGTAATATATTTTTTTTCATTCCAGGAAATTATTCGTCTTAAGTTCCGTGCAACATTTGAAGTTGAAGGATCTACTGAAGTTGAAGCTGGAGAAGTGGATTCCTTCCCTCCTTTATGAAATTTCATCAAAAATTTTAGAAAATTCAACCAAATTTTATGTCTGCAAGAAAATTCTTCAATGTTATTTAGTAAACTTAGTATCTCATTACTATTTTCATGTGTTTTAAGTCTCTCTTAATTGTCTTTGATCAAAAATCAATTATTGCGGCACATTTTCAATATAAATACAAATTTTTTGAACATTAAGCTTAATTAGTCATAAACTCGCTAGACAATCCATTTTGAGTTAAATGCATGTATTATTATGAATRACATATATATGTGCTCAAGATATTATAAAATAATCTCAAGGGTCTTTTCAGTAAGATAGGTTCAGAAAGACTTGATGTTCTAAGGGGCATGTAAGTGTACAACCATAAAACTACAGTAGTTAGACAATAGGTTTCAGTGGCGTCACATGGAATATCCTACAAATGACTATTATTATAACTTGAAAAATATAAGTTGGATATCCAATGTATGCTGTGAGAAGTTACTGTTTAACTTTTGAGAAAATTGTGAAGAAAATGCTCAAAGAGTAATAATAAACATTCATGTCTTATTAAAATTGTTACTTTAATTGTTCTTTATGAAGTGCAATTTGCTTTGTACACTAAATTAATTATCTTGGTTTTTAACAAGATATTTTAGATAAACATTTCTGCTGTCAATTGCAATAACAAGTTGCTTGCAATGCTCGATATACAGCACCCTTTGGTAAAACTAGTTATCAGTAAAATTTGCTTCTCGTTTTTCCACAAAAGCATCCATTCCTTCTTTTCTGTCATCCTATTAACACAAATAAATCAATATTAAAACAATTATTTGGTGGGCATTTTGATGTTAACAATACATCTACGTCATCTCGAAACATGAAAAAAATACAACAACTGGRAAGACATGAAAAATGAACTGCAATAATAAAGGAACTTGCAAACAAAAMGAGAAGCCACATTAAATGCAACTTACCAAGGCAAATGTAGAATGGAACATTCTTTTCTCAAAGTGAAGACCTTCTTGAAGTGGCATCTCATACCCTATATGAAAACAGATKGAATATTTAGAGACTAATAACACTTTGTCAAGCACTTCCTCTGACACCTTACTAATCTCTAAATATCAAAATCTATCATGCAGTTACAGTCACTCATAACAAAAATATTTTTATTTCCCTGTAAACATGAATTATATCACGTAGTTGTATCTAGTGAGTCACCTGCATTAATGGCCTCTTTGGCAATTCCAACGCTGAGCTTGGASAGGCTAGCTATCTTTTCAGCTGTTTTTAAAGTCTTCTCAAGTAGCTTGTCAACTGGAAAGACAGCACTCACTAAACCTATACACAAAAATATACATTAGGGATTGAGAGTTTGAAGACAAAGCGAGTTGAAAGAAATTATACTAAAGTAATGCATCATAATCTACACTAGCCTGCTTGTAAGGCTCTATTGGCATCAATTGGTTTCCCAGTTAGGACCATCTCCATAGCAAGAGATTTACCAACTGCCTTGGCCAGCCTCTGGGTACCTCCAGCTCCTTGAAAAAAGAAATGAGAGCACAATAGTGCAAATCAATYAATGGAAAAAGCAAGGTTAAATCATGTAAAAAATGTTAAACAATTTCAGTAAATAGCATTTACTGATTTGTACTCATTGACATGGATAATAGTGATAGGAAAATAATAAAAACCAAAAATGTGAAGAATATCGTTAATTGCCTTTACATTCTGAAAWCAYTTAYAAGCAAAGCRAATRTKTGTCTGAGMAACTATACCTGGAATTGTGCCAAGAAGGATTTCAGGTTGCCCAAACTTGGCTTTCTCCCCAGCATAAATGATGTCACACATCATGGCAAGTTCACATCCTCCACCCAACTAAACGATGATGATGATGATGAAAAAAATAAATGTTAAAAAATCAGAGTAGAATATCTGGAAGAAACATAYATGTACAACAAGCTAGACTGATGATAATATTTTTGTACTTACAGCAAAACCATTGACTGCTGCAATGACTGGTTTACGACACCTTGCTACTCTTGTCCAGTGTCCAAGGAAATCCCCTTTTAGGCATTTTTGATATGTCAATGGCTGCATTTCTTTGATATCTGCACCAGCTGGGAATAAATTTTACAAATAGACACACATCAATACAGATCAATAATCATGGAATGTAATTATTATTAATCCATCAAACGGTCCATCCATCAATCATTTACTCAATCTTTTTTTCAATCAACTGACATCTCAGGCCTCCTTTACAGATGCCTCTCTTCCTTTCTGCTCTTTTATTTCTACTTTTGGTCTTCATGCTTTCCTCAATATGTCTCCTTCTCGACAAGAGGATACCACAGGCATCCCAAAACAACAAATTAAAGTCTTGCATGTAGAGGAGCCTACAACATCTTACTTTTTAATTACCCTTGGCGGTCTTCAGATTGAGTGTCCACAAAACTACACCCATAGTGCAAATACATTATACTTGCAAACATCATTCAATCATAATCTAATTCATCATCATCATCATCATCATCATATATAATAAGACTGATAATTATATGTAAGTCTTATCAATAAAATATTGAGTTATTCATTAAACTAACCAGCAAAAGCCTTTTCACTTCCAGTAAGTACAATAGCACCAATTGCACTGTTGCTCTCAAATGCATCCAAAGCATTACTCAACTCAAACATTAAGCCATCACAAAGAGCGTTCAAGGCTTTAGGTCGATTGAGTTGAATAAAGCCAACATTCTCTTTGGAACCTTTAACCTCYGATATTATGTACTCAAAATTCTTGTTTGCTGCAATAAAATAATTGATATTGACTTACAAAGATGGAAAACATTTATGATCTACTATCATATTGATTTACAAAATGCACCATTGAAACTAGGAAGGACTGYRGRYCATTACATTTTACATGCACACCCCTGGGCGAAGGCTTTTTCTGGAAGTTCTTAAAATCGAATTTCTGGGGGGTAAAACGTGTCGGCGYCTTTGATCTTTTGATATTTTCTGGGGGGTGAGTCAAAACTAACTAATTTTCTAGGGGGGTTTAATGTGTCGGCACCATTGATATTTATTTTTCTAGGGGGGGTTGTGACATGACCTCTTCTATAGAGGGGTGTGGATATAAAAATGGAATGGCCCTAGTGCACACGTGAAAAATAAGCTTACGTGGTACCGAATGTCTTATAGTCACAGTTTTTTTTTTTTTTACAACCCGCCGCGCAAAATAAACAGTTAAGCTTTACCTGAGCATAGATGCCTTGCAATATGTGGTCTAGCAAGGGAAGAAGCTCTAAGACCTATCAAACCATGTGTAATCTGAAATAGCCTTCGGGACGCCATATTGCCAAATATCAACCAGCTAGCTCCAGGACTCCGCGATCTCATCAACCGGAGTGGACAGAACGGGAGTCCGGGACTAGTCTCACCTCCATCTTCTTTGGAAAGTTGTTGTAGTTCGTGTGTATTAATAAAAATATGACTCGTCACGGCAAGAATGCTACAGCAAGTTCAGTTTATTCATACCACGAAAAAAAGAAGGATACAAAGGCATCTGGATATGGAAGCGAGAAGATACGATTGGGGCGAGATTCTGTAAAGGACTTCGATTGTTGCTCGTTGACTTTACAACCCTGTAGAAATCCAGTCATTACTCCTGATGGCTACTTGTACGATAAAGAAGCAATCCTAGAGTGCATTCTTCATCAAAAGACAGAGATAGCAAGAAAGACTAAAGAATTTGAGAAGCAAAAGAAACGGATACAAGCGGAGGAGWCAGGGAAGGTTTCTGAAGAGGAGCAAGCCAAACTCGACTCTTTTATCAGCATGGAGAAGAGGATTCTTACTAAACCTAGTGGAGTCTTTAAAGCATCAAAAGAAAGTGTTACCGGTGCTGTACATGATTCACAACCATCCACATCAAAAGGTATATTTCACCAATAAATGGCTGACACTTGTTTTACTCTATTTTTCATTCATCCTTCCATTCATATTCATCCAACAAGCATTGTTTCAAATTTCAGTTCAAAGTTCTTCAAATGACAAAAACCTTCCAAGTTTTTGGATTCCATCTCTAACTCCCGAAGCAACTCCAACTCTTATCAAGCAACCAGACTCCAAAACMTATTGTCCYATGACYAAGAAACCACTGAAAATYAAAGATCTGATACCAGTTAAATTCACACTTATCAGTACAGATAGTAAACCTTTGGTTGCAAAGACAGAGAGATATAAATGTGCTGTAACTGGAGATACACTTGGAAATTCTGTTCCTTGTGCGGTGCTTAGGAATACTGGTAATGTAGTTACAATGGACTGTGTGGAGAAGTTAATCAAGAAGGATATGTTGTGTCCATTCACAGGTGTAAAGCTCAGAGAAAAAGACATTATTCATATGCAACGAGGTGGTACTGGATTTGCAGCTTCTGGTGTAAAACTTGAAGCAAAGAAAGGTGGTCCTGCAATGCAAGCTTAGTTGTATTGTTTGTTATATGTCCGACCCTGGTACAGTATCTCAAATATCAAAAGCAAATGCTTTCATGAAATTGACTACTAATTATTAACTGTTTTTATTTGAACTCTTCGTACTTTCATACCAGTTTACAATAAAAAGGCAAACAAAACAAAGCAAAAGTGTAAACAGTTGTAGTCCAAGGGGTTTTGAAGTATAAAGTAGTTCTGACACAGAATATTTCATGATGCGAAAACAGCATGAATGACTTTTTAGGGTATTTTTGAAGCTTTCAGAAAATTGAAGAAAATTGCCTTCAGTCACTTACTTTCAGTCTAAATACTCATGTTTGCTACATATTTAGCTACCCTGCAAGCAGAGGAATTTTTCCACCCACTTTCTTTCCTTTGTAGCAGGGAGTGGAAAAATTCCTCTGCTCGCAGGGCATATTTAGCATGATTTCTTTTGAAAAGGAGAAAAAAACAACCCAGACTTCCCTTCCCTCCCTTGAACCCTTGTCTTACTCATCTTGAGGCCATTCATTAGAATGACTAACTTTATCCATTCTTCATACAAATGATCTCCAGTTGTTTAAACACCTATCCTTTCAAAGAAAGCTCCTCTTGTGCGTATTACTGTCTCCAGCCGAGTTTATAGCTCATGAACTATTCGTCCAATAAGGGCTGTCTATTTAGTCAAGTGATTGAGTTTGTAAATCTAGTACAACAATAGTATTGCATCAGATATACAAAACGATCTTTACAAGGCAAATCACAAGCCAAGGTGTTGGGATATTAACTATACTTAAAAATATGAAAAAAGGATGTTTGAATGGCCTCCTACACAGCTGACATCGAGAATCCTTTTCCCTCAGTTATTGAAGTCTACTGAGACTCGTCAAACAATAAAAGTCCTCGACAGTTTATCGGATGCGTGAGTTAGCAGCTTGCAATAGAAAATTGACATTCAGTTGACATCCGATTCAGATCAGACACTTATTTTATTCTTCCGTTCTGATAGGAAATAAAYGGCMGTCAGCACGATTTAACGAATGCAAAGAAGCGTTGACAATACATCAGAGATAATTGCGTCTTCAGAAAAAAAATTATTTATAAGAATATTCTGAAGTACCCCGGGAAYCAGAGGCTGGATTTACTCCTTCTTATAGTTATAGTTTGTTTACGGCGCGAGGCGCCGTCCTTCGGCCCCAAATAAACTATAAGAACGAATAAATCCAGCCTCTGGTTCCCAGGGTAMTTCARRATATTCKWATAAATAAAATTTTTGCTTCGTCATATATTATCCGAAATGACGATTATGACATAATTCGCCATATCAAACGTTTCGTCATGTTGCGAATTTGTGCCTTCTCAGTATAAATGTACTTTATTGTTGCAGTGAAGTTCTACACTAGTTATATCACTTGCTGTCAACATATTTACACATTTAGTTGAAATGGTGACAGATTGCAATTCTTTCCATTTGAAGAGGATTTTTCTGCCGTTGCCAAGTAAAGTTTAAAGTGATTAATTTCATTATGGGTTAATTAAATCATAGTACACTCTTATGTATGATTTTGCAATGTAAAGTATACTACAGGACAAAAATACTTGGCAGGTAAATGTCTGTGAACACTGCAACACTTGAAACGCGGTTTTTGATTTTCTGGTGTCTAAGTACAATCACGTGATCAAATCGGAAAGATTTAAAAAAAATTCTTTCAAAAAAATAAACATAGATGCAAAAAATAAAAAAAATAAAATAAAATACTTAAAAAGTAAATCAAAAATCTTAAATTTTACAAAAAAACAACAACAAAAAACAACTTATTTTGGATGGATTCCCCATTGGATTGTCAGTGCTCGAGATGCGCAATGTCTGACCGCAATCTTAAAGTTTCAGATACTTGAACTAAGACTTTATGAAGTTAAATCTTGCTTAAGGAGAAAAAACTTCAATCATTKTCAGCAAAATTCATATTAATGTAAGTTTCTGAGTTGATGACGTAGAGCACAAGGTAGCATCCATACTGAGTACGCACGACAACTAAGAACAACTACCAAATGAAGGTAAACCTGTCACCTTTATACGATTTCTTTTCTTAATATAAAAGATGTCTTAAGTGGTAATGTCTTTATTTATKTGAATATTGATGAGTTTTATAATGGTGTTAACTTTGCAATTAAAGTATGATTGAAAGTCGGGTTTGCAGTATTTGCATCAKTRTGTAAACAGTTCTCTCTACTYCTGGCTTTGCTTTAATTTTAATTCAAAACACACAAATGTGCGACTCACGGTTTTCCCAGCTGTTTACCGATGAAGAGAGGAATGCACTGGCTAAAAATGAAGGCAGTCAGCGGCCGCAAAATGTTTCTGTGTTATCATCTATTAAAGTGAGATTTTCTCCACAGATGAAGCACTGTTCGCGCGGTACAGTTGTACCGGCAGAGTCTTCAGCATTGAGATTAAGGCGAAGTATCTCGAATACTGTAGAACGAAAACCCACAGAAAATATCGGGCTTCATCAGGTGACTATTATTAATTAGTACTACTTAAAGTAAAACATAAAACATGGAACTTAACAATTGTATTCTTAAAATTAAATATTCCATATATACAATTCGCTCAGACAACTCAATATTTTGTGCATAAAAACCAGGGAACACAAAAAAKGAAAAGTAGTGAACTTGTTTTAGATTTTTGTGACCTATCTGTAATCCCTGAACAGAAGTAAAAGATGTTTAAAAGATTAAATCATTTAAAGTCTTAAAGTGTGACTGATTATTAAGAAATAAGATTAGATAGTGCACTTCGATTGTATTTACGAAAATCGAAAAGGTGTTCAGGTGTAGTATTGTAATTAATGGTCAAGGCAAAAGGTTTTTTGACAAGTTGTCATGTAGAAGGGCTCAAGGTAATCTTGCCTCGTAAAAATAGCCGTAGGAAACGAAGATAATAGTAAAATGGTGYATTGTAATTATAAAACTATTCATAGACTCAAATTCACAAATCGAAGAATGGAGTATATCGCAGGATGAAAACCATATAACAAYTGTACAAAATATTGACCATAAAGTCATTGACTTATCGCAAGAGAAAAGAGTGAAAATAACAGAAATAACGTCGAAGTAAAAGCATAGCAATGTAGAGATTCCATACAATTAAAATGAAAATAAAGAAACTCATTTCTATTCACCGGAAATTTCATCATGGTTCATTACTGCCTCGTCATCTTGATCCTAGCAAAACAATATGTTTATGTACATATATCTTGAACAAAAACACAGTCAGAAATCACTTGTCTTGCTGTGAAGGCGTCAAAAAGAAAAATAATGAATCAAATAATAAAAATCCCACCGAACTGTTAGAACTAGTAAAAATTTGCAATTCAAGATATCAGTGGTAACATTAGATCTCTATATTTGAAATTATGTGTGTTTTTGGTAMGCTATGAAATAATATCGTTCATGAGTGAGCATAAGGCATTATCATGGGTGTAGGAGCTAATCGGGCTATCTCATCAACTTTATCGTATAAATACGTCAAAGAGACAGGGAAATTCATCAGTACGATTCATTCTTGATAAGAACCGGATTTCAAAGTGAGCTTGGCGGATATATTTCCTGCAGTTGTTTTTGTCGCAGTATGATAATTTGAGTTCAATATGGGGTTGATTGACTATAGACAGAATCCTGCAATGCTAGAAAAAAATGAAGGAAAAGGCGTTTGAGCTTTAATGTAATCATACTGTAAAAATATAACAGGATTATATTGATCTTAGAATAGTGATTTTATTAAAAGTGCGTCTTGTTTGTTATCATCGCAATGGTTTGTTTATATGTTAATAGTGTTTTGGAAATACATTATGTAATAACAAAGAAGACAAAGAGAATGAAAACAGGGCCAGCTCGGTTGTCCGTTCTTTTGCCGCTGTATACCACTGTATTAATATCAATAATCAATAATATTCAATTCAATTTCAATTTTATTGAAAATATACAAGAATTCAAAGGAATTAGTTAATTCCTGGACCTGAAAATTGAAACCGAAAACGGAAAATTTCCTGACATGGTAGAAAAAAAAGACCGACTTTATATTTCACGGCAAATCACGAGCGGACCACGCCTAAAAATGGCATCAGAAACTATAATTTTGCGCCCKGGATTTTGTGCCAGTGGAACTAATTAAAGTCTGATAAGGTCTTCTTCCTCTATTCTTCTTAGAGGGCTAATTCATGACCTTGTGTTGTATTTTCCAGGCATGTAAAGATGATATGATCGATGTCGTTCAAGAGTTATTGGTCAATGGGTCATGTGACATCAATGAACTTGACGCAGCTGGTTTTGCACCTCTTCACTTTGCTGCTAAATACGACTATGATGACATAGCAAAATTACTGCTCAACCATGGTGCAGGTGCGTTCTTTCATAAATATGAAACGTCTTATGGCGCGCGAGTTGATTGGCTGTGCGTGCCTTATCATTCCACAYGGGGCGTGAGGAGTCTTCTCTAAAGCTGATAGGACATGTTTCTGCCTCGATTTCGGCGTCATAACTGTGTGCAATTTTACGGCGAACATTTTAATTAGTAGTAAACAAATCAGCTTGCACAAGAGTTGGTGCTTTTCTGCGATGTCGATATTTAATCAATTCTTCTATGAGACACAAATCCCCCAAAAAGAGTACGCCGTCAAGCTATTTCTCTTTAATAGATATTTTGATAGTGGCTTTTACAATCTATATCGAATCTATAATTTATATTACTCCTTCGAGCATCTTTGTCTACRTAGCATACTAACAGAACGGATTTCTAATGACAGTGAAAAAAACACGAAACTGTTGTTCCGATATACCGTAACGTGACATGTCACTGCCAAGGGAGGGTGTAGTGTCCGTACCTGTTGTTGTTTATTCTTTTCTTAATCTAATTGGCCGAGCCTGATGGAGTCAGATCCCTTAGCTCATAGTGACCATCATCGATGATCTCTTTACTGCGATTCTCATTCAGTTCCTCTTCGACCTGCCCTTCAGCCCGGTATGGCTGGCTCAGGTCTCCTGTTGTACGGGGATACTTCCTAGCGAGCTGTTTTCTGATATACTTCACTTGAGAATAGCCAGTTTTCAGCTTGGGTTCCGTCTTACAATATTCAAACGCGCCATCAATGTAGCTTTTKCCCTCTGAAGAAGCAATTTCCTTAATTCGCTCTTTAAAAGAGTCAACTGCAGCCTCTGCCTCGAGTTTGTCGTAGTCATCTAAATCAGGGAGAATACCGTCTGCTTGAAGAAACAAACATCGCCTGGTGCAAACAATAACGAAGGCGAAGAGTATCAACGAGATGAAGAAAGACCAAGCCATCATATGAGATTCACATTGTGCCTGATAAAACTTCCGCTCAATTTCATACTTGATTTCTTTGATTTTCTTTGCATCCGTTGTATTGCGGGTGGCTTTTTTGATAGCTGTTTCCTTGGGACCAAGCTGCATACAGACGTAATAGTTAGTTTGAATCAAAGCAACTACAATCCATACTCCAGGAGGAAGAAAAGCCTGAAACACCATTGAAACAACGCGCTTGAACACAAACAAGGGCCTGAACTGCGACAATCGACATCCTGTCAACACGTTCCAGAAGTTCGCGTTGAGTAAAAGAGTTAACACAAATAAGCTAACCGCAGGACAAACAAGGAAAGAAATCCCGTAWAGACGGTGTTTTTTCTCCGGGCATCKRAAAACATCCTTTTCGAAAATCCGTTCCAATCCAAACACTAAGACGAATATAAGTACATTCCTCAACGTGGCTCCAGATGTTTTGAACAATTTTTCTAGAGCTGTTTTAATTCCTGTGAAGACTTTTCCCGATACCATGACGAACCAGTTACAAGTTTATAGCCGTAAAGAGCACAMTTAACTCACAGACGATGCGTCGCGAGACCACGCATTTATTAAATAATGAACACTTTTAGCTTTCTATCTAATAAAGGAAATTATATTTACGTCAAAAGCTTGGAGAAAATGCAACCTTTTACTTTCGAAGTCTTTGTTAAATAAACAATGGGCTTGTCTGGGTGTCGTGATTTATCACTTTCGTAGCCTTTTCAGACTTGTAGAAGGTGTACTTTTAATTTATGACCGCCATGTATTTTTAAGAAATGATGTACCATGATTATATAATTTTCGCCATGTCAGAGAGTCAAGGTTATTTCAATACAGAAATCACCTACTACAAGCAAATGGAACTACTTTGCCTCTGGATTACTACTGAAGATACAAAATCAAATTGAAATACAGATATTTCTTGCATGTACAAAAATGATCGTATACTGCTCTTAAATGCTCATCGAGGATCATTTCTTTTAGACCCAGATATCCACAATGCCTGCTTACGAACCTCAACACCCCTCCAGCTCGCCTGTTGGTTCGACTCGTCAGAAACTGTGCATGTTCTTATTGATAATGACGCTGATGTGTCCGCTGGCGCAAGGTATGGTCAACTGGCTATCCACTGCGCGGCTGCAAGGAGTGGAACGACTATTTTAGAGGTTCGACTACTGATTGGYCACGTGATTAGGCTAGAAATTACTACACTCTAAAAAAAACTGCAAGCATGACTACTATCATTATTTAAATTGTTCTTTTCATGTTACAGGAATTACTTTTAAAAGGAAAGGCAAACCCTAATAATAAGGACAATTCAGGATTCACTCCCCTTCACATTGCAGCAAATACGGGTCGGGTCGAAATTGTAAACGTCTTGGTAAGATGAGCTAAGCAACATGGCGGACAGTGMATGACGTCATTAAAATATACCATAATACTAAMATGCAGAGATCCCCTATTTCTCTCCATGTTAACTAATAGMTGAGGATCCCTGTTGCAYTKGGGGAACATTTTCAAGAGCTCTTCTTGATTTTTCATTTTCAGTTGAGATACGGTGCCAACATCATGCTTCARGACAATGATGGCAATACGCCTGCRCATATCGCAGCACGTGAAGGTCACGTGACTACCTTGACGGCATTGCTGCAAGCAGGTGCGTCACCAGTCCCTCACGGTTACAGTTCAAATTTGTTCAAATTGCTTATGAAGGCTRTGYATGGTTCTTTATGTAGCCAATTCATCAGGAGTGTCAATGAGGTACATTCTCGACAGTACAGGAACTGGGTCTTGTCTTCAGCTGGCTGTTAAAAGATCGCATGTACAGGTGAGTGGTGCGCATGTGTGACGATCATGGCATGGCAAATCTCGTCCTAGAGCCCACGTTTGTTTCCTGAAGAGTAAAGAAAGCGCATGTGCAATATATTACTTAAAAATAAAGTTAATTTCCTTTTTTCACTTCACCGCATTAGTGCAATGAATCTTTTTGTCCAATAGGCAGCCGCAGTTTGTCTTCAATATGGAGCAAGYACATACAGTAACCAGGTGAGTGATGAGTTTTATTGTAATTTTGAATCATTTTCGAGCATAGCTTTACTTAAGTTTCTTAATCTCATCAGTGTATGGTTCAGTTTTGGCTTGCCAGTTTTGCGAGCCGTTTGATGATCAGTTCCAATAGACATATTTAATTCGCGACCTCTGATTGGTCCAATGAAAACTGGTCAATCTGGTTATACTTGTTTATGAACAAAATCTAACCAAAGTGTTTCCAAATAGCACGACACCAGTCCCCCTCTGCACACAGCATGTATTCATGGTAACATAGAGCTCGTTAAACTCTTGGTAGTGAGTGGTGCGTCAATTCAGGCGGACGACATTGAAGGGATGACACCTATTTTAAGGTGGGGTTAAAGGGTTAACCTAAGGTACTGTATCAAGCTTTGAACAACTCAGCCCTGTTTACTAGTTACTTTTATCTCTAGAGCTGCCCTGGCAGGTCACGTGGACGTGGTCAACTACTTAATCGATCAGGTCAGAAACAGCTATTTTAGTTCTTATACCTCTTTAAACTACTCGTTTATGCTAAATTATGACGATAGGGAGCAAGCTTAGAGGCAGCAGGTCCACTAGAGCCTAGTCCACTCATGTGCGCGGTCAAAAGAGGACATGCTGCCGTCATAAGGCTGTTATTGACACGTGGTTCATCGATTGACGTCAGAGATTCAAGCAACAGGACGTGTTTACATGTTGCTGTTTACAGTGAGAATGAGGAAACGCTGGACGTGTTGCTTAAGGTAAGAGACTGGTTACTACTGGTATCGACAGACTGGCACTTAGTTTCCTCTCGCAGCCGTTGGGACGTCCAACTGAAATCTGCAACTGAGAAACTGGTAATAACTGCAACTAAGAGACTGGTAACTATTTCTTTGGCATTCCTCCAAAAATGTATGGCTATGTTGTGGACGGAGCACTGGAAAACAACAACAACGACAACAACAACAACAACAACAAGACGGGATTCTCACTCTCTGCCTTGTGTGTCATCATTTTCTGACTTGTTTTCTCAAGTCAAACTTCCCCTTGAAATTTTAACTTCTAAACATTGTAATGCGTTATTTTGAACAGCATGGCTGTAAGACTTTGGTTAACAATCAAGATAAATCCGAGTTCACTCCTTTACATTTTGCTGCCATCAATCAAAATCTTAAGGTAAATAAGGGCATGTCTGAATAGGGTTGAAGCAGAAACTCATAAAAGACTTAATTGTTTTTGTTATCTATAGATGATCCTTAGACTACTGGAGTTTGGAGCAGACACGACTATCTGYGACGAAGAAGAAAAGCTTCCTTTGCACCACGCTGCAGAGTATGTTACWTTGGTTTTATCTAAACGCCTTCACTTCTYACACAAGCGTTACTTTCATATTTGTAACGTAATTAGCTTAAGAATGAGTTAAAGAAGAAAGATAGACTTTTTTCTGGTTACAAAGCTGGCTCTTAAATGTCAAGATACCTCATTTGTAGCGTGATTAGTTTTAAGCATGAGTTAAAGAAGTAAAATTCACTTTTTTGGTTRCAGGGCAGGAGACCTTMAATGTGTAAAGGCACTGGTAGAAGCAAATAGACAGTCAATTCACGCCACAGATTACAGACTTCGCACGCCTCTATATTACGCTGCTCTAGAAAACAAAAACGACGTCGTCAAGTTTCTAATTCAAAATGGAGCTCGAGTAAACTCAAGGTTCAAATCCATGTCTATTAAAATTCGGGGCGGAAAATTAGAATAAAGTCAATCAATGAGTGCGCGCACTCAATCTATAAAACATAAATCGCATAATTAGATGCTGAAATATTTTCTTACTGCTAGGATAGGCATTGCAGCTGCGAGAAATCGAAACTGTGTTTTGCTGGTATTAAWKGCAATTGTTTTGTAGGGATGACGATCGCTTAACTCCTCTTCTTGCTATCGCTCCTGGGGGATGTCATAAAGCAGCTATCATGTTACTAGACCACGGTGCTAAAATAGATGACCTTAGCAAGAACAGAGTAAGAAAGCTGATGATTTTTCATCATTATCATTTTGAAAATTACAGCAATACATAATAGCAGAAGGTTRGATAATTTAAAGATGTTTTGATATTTTAGGCCACTGCTTTGAACGTTGCGTGTGCCCATGGTAACGTAGCAGTCGTTAAAGTCCTGCTTGATAGAGGAGCTGCTGTCGACATTAAGTCAGCTTTCGGTCGAGGCTGCTTGGGCGCCGCTATCTATGGTGGAAAAGCACAATCTTGTATGGAGATAATAAAACATAAAAGGTATTTAAATCGGATTTTATACAAACAAATTTGGCGTCATTTATCATTTTGCGTCTTTTATCAGATGGAAAGAAGCTCTTAACGTTAAAGATTCAAAAGGATTTTCTTCGATGAAGGGTTTGATTGAGAACTTCCCTGAAGTAGCCAAGTTAGTCATGGATAAATGCGTTGTAACATCGAGTAATGTGACAACAACAGATCCTGACTATTCGGTATGTATACCACGTGATTACGATGTTGATGATGCAATGGGGATGGTCACTGACCATCATCATTGCACCGTCGTCATAAATGCTTGTTATTCATGTGACTACTGATACATGTCACGTGTTTGTTGCGATAGATTACCTACAATTTTGAATTCCTGGACGTTCACCCGTMTGAAAGRAATGGTAAACGTGGTGCACATTTCTACTTTGGACCACAGGTAACCCAACAAGAGACTAGAACACATTAGTATTCGCATAGATAGATATCTTGTTTAATAAAAGCTYTTATGGRTTAATTTTTCGGTTCAAGACCATGATGGAAAGTGGGGCATCGAGAGAGCTTCTTTTCCATCCACTGACTACAGAATTATTGAACTTGAAATGGTAAGTGTTTCTATAATTCATCGTTTTATTGTTCCTGTTYTATTGCTCTAATTCTCCATTGTTCAATTGCTACCATTTTCTATTGTTCTCTTGTCTAAATTGCTTRATTACCATTACATTGTTTTAATATTCTATCATATTAAAAATAGTTCTAGTCTATTGTTCCATTTTKTTATTGTTGTCCTTTTTTCCATCAAATTGTTTTAAGTTGTCTTTTTTTGTCTTTTTTCCAGGAATTCTATAGCCAAGTACTTGACAGCGAGTGGACTGTTTATGTTTGCTTTGTTTGTGGCCAATTTTACTTTATTCATGTTGTGTTTTGGACAACAAGACTACAAAAAAGGAAAAAAGCTCTTTAAAGACGAAGTAAGGGCCATAAAACTTCAATATTTAGAAATTCATTTCTCCTACCATCCGATTGTTTTCATTGCAATTTTATAATAAATAAAACTCTTTACAGTATTTCCTTTGTACRCCCCAAAATCTGTCATGGCAATCTTATGGGGTAGCTGCCTTCACTGGTATGTGGCTTTTTTCACACGTTTATCGCTTCTTTAAAGAGGTAAGTACCATGTGTAAAACTGCGTAATTTTCTCACCAGCTCACAAAAATTGCAGTGCAAAAAGTGTATTAAAAAATTGCAATGTAACGGCCGAGAAAGTGCCGCCAGAACTCAAGTGCGTGGAGATAATTTATAAGAAAGTTGCTGGAGTCATAATACACTGAAAATTCGGTCTGCGTTTTCTGCAACGTGCTATACGCTTTACACGGCCTGTGCAATTCTTTATTAGCAAATTGTTTTCCAAGCCGTTAAGACAAGTTGCTGAGAAACTTCTTAGACAGCTCTTTAAACAAGGACTGTTTCTTTCAGAGGGGGATGTACTTCGACAGGTATGTTGCTATGGAGGTTTCTACCCTTGTTGCTTGTTTGATGTCATCCTTCCTTGGCGAATGGATTACGGATAAACGAAATCAATTTGGYTGGGGTATTTTGGCTCTTCTTCTTTGCTACTTTTCGGTTCTATTYTACATTCAAACGTGAGTATTTATGTTGATTCTCGACTCGACAAATTTTAAATGATACAATGGATAGACATTTGTGGCGTAACGAGTGAATTATTTCATCCCGCTGTTTATATTCGTAGGATATTTCATTCTGGGATCTATGTAACTATGTTATTTGGAGTCTTGAAAACTCTTGTCAAGGTAAAAATGAGTTATGATCGTAGTTTACTTTTGAATGTTAGTAAAGATGATACGAAACACTTGAACAGAAATCACTAAAAAATCAGGACAGGGCAGCCAATAGATCAGTTTTTACAATGTCGCCTTCATTTTATACAATTGGAACTATGCAAGATCACTTCCACTGCTATTGCTCAAACTTATTTTTGGTGACTTTTTTGTTCATGTTCACGTTTCAACGAATTTTTGTAGCTCATTGCCATTGGTGACGATGATGATTGATGAAGTTGTTTGCAGTAACGATGACAAGCAGAGAATTACTAACGCATCAAATTGCGCGATTTTTCCAGTGTAAATRATATTAAACCTTATAATATTGAGTTATAATAATGAGTTAAATGTTCGTTTTCAGGCTATGATCACTTTTGTTATYCTTCTGTTCGTGTTTGCTATCCTGTTTCATTTGCTTCTTAATTCTCCTTTTTATGAGGTATGGAAGATGTACATGATACTTTCTCGATGATTCATGTGTTTTCTGTCAACCATTTTTATATGTTTAGCGCTTTTTCATCCATTCACAGGGAAAAAAGATTTTCGTCGGAGAGGGTGTTTATAACCAAACTAAAGTTGAAATTCCAGTAAGGTTTCATTACTTGACAATTGATTGACAGATTACCGATCAATTATTGATTGATTAGTGAAAACGAGACAAAGTTTCTCTACACTGAACGACTATCGACTATGTAGTYTAGTGATTAAATGTCTTTTTGAAATATTGATTTTTTCAATTATTTTTAGCATCCGTTTGGAAACATCTTTCTGTCATTTGTAAAAGTTATAGCAATGATGATTGGTGAGCTGGAATTTACCAGGTTTTTTGTMGAGCAGAAATACGATTACAACATTGAACCTTTAGCTATCTTTGTCTTCTTGGCTTTTTGTGCTTTCTTACCGATTGTCCTAATGAATTTATTAGTAAGTAGCCAAAGATTATATTGCTAGATGTTTATTACAGCAAAGWACAAAAAGAAAACATCATGTGCTCTGGTTGGGACTCGAACCCAACTTTTTCCTCGACCGTGGGTTCGAATCCTTCCAGTGTTCTATTGTCATTTTCTGCAAGCAGCGAATTTCACTATCATGACTAGTAAAAATAGTAAGACAAAGGGTGTCTTTTTTAGATTGGACTAGCAGTCGGTGATATCGATAGCGTACAAAAGAACGCTGAAATTAAGCTACAAGCCATTAAGGTAGGCCCTCAGGMGCATTTTGTTCTCGTGAATGGTGGCGCACATCGGTTATTGTATAGAAACTTCAATAGTTTTGCCCCAGGGACGCTTTTTCAGCTCGGTCACCCACTTTTCTATTAATTTTCACAAAACAGATTGAGGAAATCTATTCGTTGGAGCAAAAGATACCAGTAGCTATTCTTCGATATTTCTACAAACCATACATAGTWAAGTACCCGAACAGGAAATCAAAAGGAATTGTTCAGACCTTGAAGGTAWGCTCAAAGGATTTAGAAAAATCCCGAGGGTTTGAATAAAAAAGTGSTAAAYGATTTTAGTKTTAATGTCATTAATGTTTCGTTTCATTGTGTTTCGAAGGCTGTAGGGAATCAAATAGTTGGGAATACTGAGGATTACGATGACATACTTGAGGATCAAGAGCGGGAAGATATGGAGACAATGGAAGGTGCCATGAGTAGTCTCACCAAGAGAATGAACCAGCAAAACAACAGGTTACACTTAAATCACCTCTTAATGATACATCTCTATGCTTTGCATTTTTTCCAACAAAGTTAAAAAATACGCTACTATTCTTATATCGACGAATATTTCTTACTTCTCACCGGACTTTCCAGTTGGAAATGTGGTTACAAACCAAAAATACTGGACTTAATTTATGGTTCCGATGCGTTTCATACGATGATGAAGCTCACATGCATCGAGCTTTCAAATCAAACCAAACAATGTTTAAAGAAGAAACAAAAGATCTCTGTCTGTGACTTCATCAAAAGTGGAATTCCGCGTTYGAATTTTAGACGCTGATTAATGACAAAACATCTCACATATTTGTATCTTACTTTAGGATAGATGAACTTCTCGATGACGTTCAACAACAGCGTTTAACACTGGACAAACTATCAAACCTTATGATACAAAGAAAAGAACGCGCCGAAAAATAATGGTCGTAGAAATCTAAAAAATGAACAAAAAATCACTAATATGAATTGCTTAAAAAAACAAACGCAAGTCACTTAAACTGAACCAATCTCTTTGTGTTTTGATCGTGTGACTGGTATCTTTATTAATACGAAATTGGTACAGTATTTGCTGCACTCTTATTCAATTTGATTTGGTTGCAACTGAATAGTGCAAATCCAATGCCGCAGCCGTATAACTCTTGGAGAAAATCTAACATTACAGACTCGATGTGCTTTCATAGAATAGACCTGATAGACGGGTTTTATACGATTAACAAGTGTACATCTTTATACATGGTATAATTTATGAAGTACATCTAGCTAATAAAACGAACAACTATCATTACCATCATTATTATTAATTTACATTACCCTAATTTTGCAATCATTAATATTCTCTTCTTGCTGGGTTACTAGACTCTACAGACAACACTGGCATTGTTTGACGACAAGAGAGGATTTGATATCGGCTAAAGAAGAGCAGCCTGGAACAGATAGATACATAAAATGCTTAATCACATACACGCTCTTAATTTGTAAAAATACAATAATTCACGGAAACTAATCCCCGCTAAGAACCCTGAGAATTATGTAAATAGTCAAAGAAGAAATAGCTTAGTCGAGACCAACTTGGGCTTAATATTTTGTTGACAATTACCAGAAAGAATCATGGCCGTCTTTAGTTCTGTACGCAGAATCTCGAGGACTTTGCAAACACCTTCTTCACCCTGAAATATTGAACATTTMATTTTGTTAGGAAATGTTTTTGTTGATTCTTGCATTTACTTTTTGCGTGTTTTGTTTTATTTTGTTTTCGGCTCAAATGCAAATGAAAGAAAATCGAAAAGGAGGAAATGGGTGAACAAAAAAGAAGAGAAGCATTTTGATCTACTCTGCCCCAGATCTTCACAAATATCAAACTAAGGAAGCCCAAACACTGGATTCACCAATGACTTTACCTGGTAGGCAAGTCCATATAACACAGGTCGACCAATAAAAACAGCACGTGCACCCAATGCTAATGCCTTCAGTACATCAGTACCAAGCCTTACTCCACCATCCATGTATACTTCAATTTGACCATCRACAGCTGCAACCACTTCTGGCAATGCATCTATCTATTGAGATTTAAGTATCAAATAATTGGTTTTGAATTTAAGCTAAATTATTTACTTACAGCTGCTAGTACTCCATCCAACTGTCTACCGCCATGGTTTGATACTATGATGGCATCTGCACCATGTTGAACTGCAAGTTTAGCATCCTCTGCTGTAAGGATTCCTTTAAGGACAACTGGCAGTTTTGTGATGGATTTAAACCATGATATGACATCCCAAGTAATAGTTTTATCGAATTCTAGATCAAACCGCCTAAACAAATGATTTAACAAGGATATTGTAGTAAAGCTGCTTGATTGACAGGTTGATGGATTTGCTGCTTGATCAATGCATTGATTGACACAATGAYTGATGATTAATGTATAACACATCTGTAAGAAATACATGTAGAGTTCCAATATGATTGATTTAATAAGATGAATACATACACAACATCTCTTCTTCCAGTGAAGATAGGATATGGTACTTGAAAAAATGGTCCAGAACCCCTATCTTTTCTAAATGAACGTCTATTTCCAATAATAGTACAATCAACAGTTACAACCACAGCAGTGAAACCTAATCTCTCTGCTTCATAAATCAAAGTTTTCATCTTTTCTTTATTTTCAAGGACATTAAACTGCATCCATCGAAGGCCTGCTTGAGAAGCATGTGCAATATCTTCCATTGGGAAACCTGCACCCATRCTTAGTGTCATACATGTGCCAGATCTTGTGCAGGCTGGAAATTATAGAAGTAACATGATTATTAACATTTGAACCTTAAGGGGTGRGGGGATGATAGTTGTGGTATCAGGCACATGAGGATCAGGTTTGAAAATGCAGCATTTTAAATTGTTTAGATTGTATATTCCTGTGTAATTGTTAAACCCTACYAGGTAATAGAAGGTCATTAAAGTTTGTCAAGCTCTCCAAACACAAGAGGGTCCTCACCCTCCCCCCCCCCCCCCTTTGTTCTCTCACCTTTGGCTGTTGCTTTTTCACCATCAGGGTTAGCTAATCTATGAATTCCAGTTGGACAAACACATATAGGCATGCTGRCCTTCTGTCCAAGGATAGTGCTTGACATGTCAACTTCTGTAACCCCTCGAAGCATTCTAGGTCTCAATTTTATCCTAAAAAATGAAATAAAATAAAAGCTTATGGTATTGAAGTCTTGACTACACTGCGAAGAAAGATTCTTTCTTTCTGGAACAATAACTTACAACTTCAYCTAACCTTTGAAAAGCCTTGATATTATCTTTTACAGTCAGTTCGTCATCAGCACCTCCCCTATAGAACTGGAGAGCTAATTCAGAAAGCCTTTGGCGAGCTTTCAACTCGACATCATCTAAACAAATAGGTTCTTCTGCAGTGCTTGGGTCCATGATATCTGTATAAAACTGCAATTAAATCGATTCAAAATGTCTTTAATTTGCGTACTAGTAATTTGCGTTTTATATTTAACTTATCTCGAAGAAAAGAAACAGCTGGAAGCCAAGAGTGCGTTTGAGAATGACCGAGCAGAGACTGGTGATTAGGCGCTTCATTTCAAACATCGAGTT